TTAGTAGAGAAGACCGAGCTAAGGATAATTCGGCCTTCTATGTGGCTCAGCATAACCAGTGTTATTTCGGTCATGTGGTAGTTCGGCCATGGAGAAAACCATCCCACTTGGTTTAAGCAGTGGGGGAGGGTGTAAAAGGATAAGCATTATCCTTAGGAGTATGAATCCTAGGAGGACTCTGCATGGAGAAATACAAGTCCTACTAGGATTATGCCACTCGAAACCTATAAAAGCTCACAAGCACCACCTTGGAGGAGGTAATTGAACACAATACTTTTTGAGAGCATAAATCTTTGTCTATTTGTCAAGCTTACTGACTTAGGCATCGGAGAGGTTTCCGGCACACACCCGCCGGCTAGCTCACGTTTGTGTTTTCAGGTGACAAAGCGACGTCGTACGGAGGAGCGTGGACTTGGTCAACAGGATTATACGAGGAGAATTATTTCCTCCCCGTACAATTAATTCCGGCATTTCCGACCGGAGTGTTCATCCCTTTTTCAGGTAATGATCAAATGATCAGGGACGTCAGACTGAATTCAGGAGTATTTCCAAACCACCTCTCTACAATTGGTGCCATCTGTGGGAATACTCAAGTACGTTCATGGCAAGCATAACAGATGATCCTTCGCTCGTTGTTGACAATGTTACACCAAGAGATGATGTTACTCCAAGAAACATGCTTGGACCAGAGAATATCGCCGCAAGACGGGCCCTGAATTTCAACTCAGTAGCTCAAACCTCACCCTCAACCTCAATGCAGGAGACTATACAAACGATCATGGATCAACCGAAACGAAATAAGCAACGCCTTGAAGATATGGTGGCCGGTAACGAGCGTTTATGTAACGAATTGGCCTTGAAGGTAGCCAAATCCCAACAGACCGCATGTCTTGATCGGGGTCGATCCCCAGGAAAAAAGGACGATCGACGACGTCGACTTCAGAAACACGGTAATGGCAGCGACTCTGACTCACCATCCCAGGAGCTAGCTCATCCGAAAGGAGTCCGTACGTAAGGCACAGGCGAGGGAAAGAAAGTGATGATTCAGATGAAGAAGACAGGCATGACCCTTTCGTACGATAGATTGCAAGGGTTGTGCTGCTTAAAAAGTTCAAAGCACCACCGTTCACCCTGTATGACGGAAAATCGGATCCCATCGACCATATTCGTCATTACAAACAAGCGATGACATTGCATGCTGATAACGAAGCCCTCATGTGTCGAATGTTTCCAAGTAGCTTGGGACCGTTGGCCGTTAGATGGTACTATAAACTGGAGCCGGTGTCAATAAGAAGCTTACTTCAGCTCCAAAAATCCTTCAGGGCAAGATTCATCACCAACGAAGTTCAGCCAAAATAAGCCGACTCTCTCTGGGCGATGCAGATTAAACCAGAAGAGACCCTCTGTGAATATTCGGCGTGCTATTGGAAGTGTTTCAACTTGGTAGATGGTGCCTGCAATGATTCTATGGCCATTACCGCCTCTAAGATGGGATTACACCTCGATAGTTCTCTCTGCAGTTCGTTGACCAGACGGCCTCCCAAAACAGTTTTCACTGATCGAT